AAGTTATTACCACGTCCAAGGACTCGCAAGGTCAGGTCCATCTGCAGATCCACTTTACCGTAAGTGAAGATTCTCTCCTCATAAAAGCAGATCAGGATTCAATGGAAACTGGAAAAACCTGAAGCAGAAAAAACATTGTGCTTTCATTGCCACAAGTGCAAAAGTTGAGGCTTTTGCGTGGTTTTCATAGATGCATTTATTTCTACTTGTCACGGTGTGGATTTTTTATAATACATTTTATTTCTCCGGCGCCTTGTTGACACTCAAGGTTGCTTTACATACAAATAAAAAGTACTTTTAAAAACATGTTTTATTTATGATTTTGTACCCTGTGCTGTTGCCTCTAGTGGGATAAATAAAGTAGTCTGAATCTGAATCTAAAAGTTGAAATACAGCAAAAATCATCATAAACAGTGGATGAAGTGAAGGCTTGTCTGGCAGAGGACATTAACCCATGGTGCAGAACTGCAAAAAATAATGGATTTAAAGAAGCTATACCCAATTTATTTTAATGAGTTCATAAACATGCTTATTACCACATACAAGTTGTATTATAATCCGTAATTGAATTGGAAACTTGAGCTCATTGATTCAGCTGTGTATGAACTCAGGCGTATAAAGTGCTGAGTAGAGACTTAGCGCTCTCCTCCAATCACAGAGCGAGGCTGCGTCCTCTAGCCTCTACAGCGCTGCTAAACACAGTAGCATGTTAGCATAAGTGGCTATAACTCCTCTGGCTGTAACTGCAGACACAGCAAAACAGCCCAAACACACAACAGTGAGGAAGAGAAGAGGAACTAAAGCCACAACATGATCAAAGAAGAAACCAAGCCCTGAACAGAGCTAGCTTACATCGTATCCTCTGGAGAGACTGGTCTGAGGGAGAGACCTGCGGGACCGCCTCGGACTATCTACGCTCGGACTATCTACACTCGGACTATCTACGCTCGGACTATCTACGCTCGGACTATCTACTATCGGACTATCTACGCTCGGACTATCTACGCTCGGACTATCTACGCTCGGACTATCTACGCTCGGACTATCTACTATCGGACTATCTACGCTCGGACTATCTACTATCGGACTATCTACGCTCGGACTATCTACGCTCGGACTATCTACGCTCAGACTATCTACGCTCGGACTATCTACGCTCGGACTATCTACGCTCGGACTATCTACTATCGGACTATCTACGCTCGGACTATCTACGCTCGTACTATCTACGCTCTGATTATCTACGCTCGGACTATCTACGCTCGGACTATCTACGCTCGGACCATCTACGCTCGGACTATCTACTATCGGACTATCTACTATCGGACTATCTACGCTCGGACTATCTACGCTCGGACTATCTACGCTCAGACTATCTACGCTCGGACTATCTACGCTCGGACTATCTACTATCGGACTATCTACGCTCGGACTATCTACGCTCGTACTATCTACGCTCTGATTATCTACGCTCGGACTATCTACGCTCGGACTATCTACGCTCGGACCATCTACTATCGGACTATCTACTATCGGACTATCTACGCTCGGACTATCTACGCTCGGACCATCTACGCTCGGACTATCTACTATCGGACTATCTACTATCGGACTATCTACGCTCGGACTAAATACGCTCGGACTAAATACGCTCTGACTATCTACGCTCGGACTATCTACGCTCGGACTATCTACGCTCGGACTAAATACGCTCGGACTATCTACGCTCGGACTATCTACGCTCGGACTATCTACTATCGGACTATCTACGCTCGGACTATCTACGCTCGGACTATCTACGTTCTGACTATCTACGTTCTGACTATCTACTATCGGACTATCTATCTACGCTCGGACTACATTTGGACGTAAAACTAGCGGTAGTCTTTCAGTTATATATTGTGTTAGCAGTGCGTTGCTTTTGTACCATTTAATCAGTGATTGTTGTACAGCTTACAAGTAGTTGCGCTCATGCTAATGTTAGCATATAGATCGCAAATAAAACAAGATGGCTTTGTAGAATGAGAGCGTCGGGGAAATGAGAAGCCTGTGAGCGAGTTGGGGGCGGAGCTAAACATTCAAACATTGCAATAACGGGTATAGCTCCTTTAATAAAACGTAAAACAAAACAAAACCGGGACCTTCTTGCTGTGACGCGAGAGTGCTATCTGCTTAGCCGCTGTGTCGCCCCAGCTGGTTATCCATATACACAGATAACTAGCAGTAAATGCATCATTATAAATAATACTACATCTACAATACACAACAATTACTTAAGTTTGCCTAAAGTATCTCGTCTCAAGCCTGTAGCAGAAGTGAATGTGGCTGTGAGTGTGTTTTCCCTGCAAAAAATGATCAAATATGAGATCATAATTGCTAGAATCGAGTTTTTTTTAACTTGACTTAAGTTCATTCTGACTGTCTTAAAATTAGATTTGCCAATGAGACAAGCAATTTTGACTTGATTCAAGAACTATTGCTTTATTTTCTCATTCCAAGAGAAAAATATCTTGTATCTTTTTAAAACAAGACAATTTTTCTTGTTCCACTGGCAAATCATATTTAGATACATTTAGCCAAATTTGAGCTTTTTTTTGTCTTTAATTCTGTCATCTTTTGCAGTGTTTAACTTTTAATCTTTCCCTAAATGTAAAATCATTCTCCTTCTCTTCGTGCTAACTGAGACCCATACAAAAGCTGCCCCCGCTGCTTGTTCTGCTTGTTGATTCCAGACCGCAGCACTTCTCTCTGTGGATAAAGTCTCCTAAAACAGCAGTATTTTTCATCAGCGATCGACTGCAGGCCTCCCCGCTCACACACGATCAATAGCGATGCGTAACGTCTGCTCTCCCGCTCTCTTAATGATGAGTCCTGTATACGACCAAATGCTGATTCAGTTTGGCTTTGAAAGAATAACAAGGTTGTTAGTTACAAAGGTTCCATTGATTAATATGGGCCACGCCGCACGGTCGGCTGAGTAATTCTTGGTAATGGAACATGTGGCGAGCGGAGAATCGATGGTGGACTTATGCTGAAAAACGATAACGCTGAAGTGAATTAGGGGCAGCTCTGGCACAGCGGCCGATGATACGTGCGTGCGGAGGAGAGGAGGCGTCTCTATCGGTCACAGCGGGCGTCATTATCCACGGCGCCAGTACGATGCATGGAGAAGTAGATGTTACAGTTGTTATGCAAGACCTGGGCCAGCAGTGAAAAACGTTTTGATTTTTAAAGCGCAGGTATGAGACTTTTTACACGTACATAATACCATCTGTTTGTCCCAGCAGAAAGAGAGATTCAAAAGTGTTCGAGTGGATCCTTCTCTACATCCGGGCCTCCCTAAAGTTTCTTTCTTTTTTCCCACTGAGAATGTAGATCCAGGACTGAGGCTGTAGATCCAGGACTGAGACTGTTGATCCAGGACTGAGGCTGTAGATCCAGGCCTGAGACTGTAGATCCAGGACTGAGACTGTTGATCCAGGACTGAGGCTGTAGATCCAGGACTGAGGCTGTAGACTCAGAACTGAGGCTGTAGATCCAGGACTGAGGCTGTAGATCCAAGACTGAGTAGATCCAGGACTGAGAATGTAGATCCAGGACTGAAACTGCAGACCCAGAACTGAGGCTGTAGATCCAGGACTCAGGCTGTAGATCCAAGACTGAGGCTGTAGATCCGGGACTGAGACTGTAGATCCAAGACTGAGGCTGTAGATCCAAGACTGAGGCTGTAGATCCGGGACTGAGGCTGTAGATCCAGGACTGAGTGGATCCAGGACTGAGACTGTAGATCCAAGACTGAGGCTGTAGATCCAGGACTGAGGCTGTAGATCCAGGACTGAGACTGTAGATCCAAGACTGAGGCTGTAGATCCAGGACTGAGTAGATCCAAGACTGAAGCTGTAGATCCAGGACTGAGTAGATCCAAGACTGAAGCTGTAGATCCAGGACTGAGTAGATCCAAGACTGAGGCTGTAGATCCAGGACTGAGGCTGTAGATCCAGGACTGAGTAGATCCAAGACTGAGGCAGTAGATCCAGGACTGAGTAGATCCAAGACTGAGGCTGTAGATCCAGGACTGAGGCTGTAGATCCAGGACTGAGTAGATCCAAGACTGAGGCTGTAGATCCAGGACTGAGTAGATCCAAGACTGAGGCCTAACAAAGACACATTTTCATCTCCACCATAAGATAATACACTGTCCAGCCTTCATTACACCCCAACACAGATATAGTTTTGTCCCATCTGTATTATTTCTATAACTCACACTCTTTCGTGTTCCCTTCCATCTCTCACACACAAAACCCTTCCATCATTCACACATTTCCTCGTTCACCTGCTCCTCAGATCTGCCAGCGTCTAAGAAAACAAAACATATGCTCTGGCTTACGCTTGCTTTCTCTGTTAAATCCCTGTTATTTACACAGAAGCAGAGACAGAGGAGGCTCAGCACAGCACACAGGACACCCGCAAATGTCCCCATTAGATCATCACCAGCCGGCTGTAGTACCGGCGTGTGTGTGTGTGTGTGTGTGTGTGTGTGTGTGTGTGTGTGTGTGTGTGTGTGTGTGTGTGTGTGTGTGTGTGTGTGTGTGTGTGTGTGTGTGTGTGTGTGTGTGTGTGTGTGTGTGTGTGTGTGTGTGTGTGTGTGTGTGTGTGTGTGCGTTTTTATGCCGCAGTAGATATGAGATTTTTTTTTTGCTAACAGAAAATACCTAATGAGAGGGATTTGGGAAGTGAATGAAAATATGGATAATGTAAACGATAGAAGAGAGCTGAGGTGGAAGGAGGAATCAAAACGTAAAACAGCTGACTCTTGGGTGGTCGCAGTGTGATTAAGAAATATGGGGGTTAAGTGTCTTGCCCAAGGACACAACAACAGCAGACATTATGATTATCCTGCTTGTGATCTCTTCTGGTTCTGCCTATAACACCCCCTGTCCAGCCCATAGTCTACCCCCTGTCCAGCCATGGTGCTCTCCCTGGTCCAGTTTGTAGTCCCCTCAGTCCAGCTTGTGCTCTCCCTGGTCCTTCCTGTAGTCCTCCCAGTCCAGCCCGTGCTCTCCCTGGTCCTCCCTGTAGAACCCCCCAGTCCAGCTTGTGCTCTCCCTGGTCCTTCCTTTAGTCCTCCCAGTCCAGCACGTGCTCGCCCTGGACCTCCCTGTAGTCCTCCCAGTCCAGCTTGTGGTCTCCCTGTAGTCCCTCCAGTCCAGCTCATGCTCTCCCTGGTCCTCCCTGTAGACCCCCCCAGTCCAGCCCGTGGTCTCCCTGGGCCTCTCTGTTGTCCCCCCGGCCCTCTCGTTGCTTCCTGCTGCTGTGTGGGCGTATTCAAAGCACAGAAACACTCTTGGATGTTTCAATATTAGCTGTGGAGCTGGACCATAGATCATCTTAATGTCGCCTCGTATCCAGCGTGAAGCAGATCGATGGGACGTGGTCGGCCATGACACTTATTGTGCGGCTCGGACAGCGGGAACGGTCTTTTCTCTTCATTACACTGTTCAGGAGCGTGGCCACGGACTGGAGATGGAGTAGGACTGAAGTGACACACACATATGGACTATTCATGGATTTGATTTAACATCATGATGCAAATCCTCTGCCAATCCATCCTTCTCTTTCTCCTGTATCTGAGACCAGGTCCGGATGAAGATTTATTCAAATAGCACCATTTTGTTTTTCAATCATAATATTTAGATAATTTAGTTCAAACCTGCCCAAGACATAATTTCACATATATCAATTTTAAGAGACTTTTGTGATTCCAGCCCCCCTCAGACACACACCATACAATACATGACCCTAGGATAGATGGTATAGGACATGCAAAACAAAACACACACAGACACACACACTCACACACATACACACACACACACACACGCACACACACACGCTGTTGCACTGCACTGTTTCCTTCCCAGGGCAGGCGGTTGGGGGCCTTGCCAGAACCCAAGCTTCCAGGTAAGTCAAGGCAGGTGAAATCCCTCAGTTGTTTGCACAGCTATACAGAACTTTCCACACACACACACACACACGAAAAACATCGTTCTTTACAATGATATTTCGGTGTTTGCAGCCGGTAACTTTTGAAAATCACCGGCTGCAAACATCGAAACCAAACGCAAAGGGACAAAGCAGGGACAAAGCAGGCTGATGGCGTCATTCACCCTTTTCTACTGAAGATATTATTTCACGTTCTAAAATATAGCATTAGTAAAGGGTATGAGAATATGATTGTAGAATGTCTTTCAAATTGCCAAACATAATATATATAATTTTGTCTTTATAAATAAATAAGTAATGGTTTATTGTGTAATGGTTTGGCTTTATTTCCTGTTTTATTTTGTAATTTTTTTAATCCCTGTGTCTCCTTCAGTTGTACTTCCTGTTTCCTGTGTCTCATTAGTCTTGCAGTTAAACCCTGTGTTTTCCTTCACACTCTCTGTTCCATTACTGTAATCTCCACATCAGTTTTAGTTACAAAATGGTCCATCTCTGTTTTGTCATTTTTTCCAAGAAGTCGATTAGAGCCAATTCACTGCTCCACAGAAAACCAAAACATACAATAGATAAGCCCAAGTCCAAATAACCTTTTTAACTATAATTACAAGTCACATCAAACCATTAGTTGTACATATTCCTTTGTCTTGTTTCTAGACCGCTGCTGCCTGGAAAAAGCAATATCTGGGGTCGAGACGTGGGAATATGATTAAAGCCTTCCTCGCCGCTGTTATTGTCGGACTAACAGCCTCAGAGATCAAGCAAAGTAGATTATCTCCTGTGTCGTAACTTCGCCCGCAGCCGGAGCTCGGGCCTGAAGTGTGGGTTCTGTTGTTGACGTTGATAATGAGTGATGTGCGACACGAGCGGCCTCAGCTGCACAGGCCTGGAACCCACGACAGTTCAGACAATACTGCCATAGTTTGCTCCGAGACACAAAGGCCTCTCTTTGTGTCGGTGAGTATGAGCGCGAGCCACAAAGAACAGTGAGGGATAATTGAGCTTTTAGTGCAGGACTGGAATAGAAGTAGCCTGGCCTTATCATCCGAGCAATCAGCGAGCGCAGGAGGCGGGTTTTGTAGTTTGGCAATGGCGAAAAATGCGATAGTAACGTATTCCGGTCTGGTTCTATCAAGAAATTGAAGCGGGAGCAAGAGGAATGTTTAGAAAATGTAATCGCTGGCAGAAATTGCGGCGCTACTCCCCACGGGCTTTGTAAGCGGTAAAGGAGTTGGCTAAAGCTAGGCTAAACGACTCACTCTGACGCATTACATATGTCAAAGTAAACTCAGATCCAATGGTTTCAATCTGCAAAAGGAGTTAACCCCTCTCACCTGTTAACGGAGCTCAAGGGAGCACCTCCAGACCTTAGTACGAAATGTAATTTGTACTGTGGTGTGGTACGACCAGGCTAGAATAGAAACAGTCGGAGTTAAGAAGCACTGTCAGGATCTGCTCCCTGCTGTCTTTCCCCCTCCCCTTCTGTGTGTGTCTTGTGTCCGCCTTCCTGGGCGTGGCTACACACCAGTTCCACTTGCCACTCATCACCAGCTGCATAAGAAGCCTCATTCCAGCCAGATGATGCCAGTTCTTTGCAGCTTCTTGTTTGTGCAACATTTATAGTCTAAGCTCTACCTTTTGCGATTGCATTTTGTACTTACCTCGCCTCCTGTGCATGGATCCTGTTAGGCGGATGGAACCTCCGTCCGCCTGCCTCTGCCCACTTCACGTGATCCATTGCCTATTCACGACTGTCAATGCATCCTTCTATTTTCCTTCAAAAAAAGTCAATGACGAACAAGGTCTATATTGGCTGAGATGAAGTTGGATGGATGACAAAGTGAACTTGTGTTTATGATCTCAAAGACTATTAAGATGAGATATTCCTTTATTCATCCCACAGTGGAGAAATTTCTATGTCATAGCCAGTGTCAGTGTCACGTTACAGCAGAAAAGAAGGAAATAAGAGCATTCAGATTGCACAAGTCAAATAGTCTATTATTTAGGACAATAGACAATACAAATAAGATTGTAAAATAGAATAAAACTTTGGGTTAGCATGGCAGAGGGCCACATAAAGCATGACTTTGGACATGCTCTAAGCCATAACCCCATGTAAAGTCCGTGGAGCTGATCCCACACGCTGAAGTACACAGCCCTGTGCTTTTAATCCCGGTAAAACAACTCCAGCCTCAGTCAGAGTAATTGGCACTTGTTGCTCAAAAGTGGCACTGTCTAAAACTGTTCCCGGTGACAGACTGGAGCCGTGCACAGCTCTATACGTGGTTCAGACCCGGGTATATTATTATTCCGCTCGGCACATGAAGGTGTCTGCAGCCCCCGCCTCCTGCCGAGCTCTTCTTATGGATCAAAAACACAGCGCAATCAAAGCATGCGGCACTTTCAAACTCATTCCTGTTTTAATTAACATTCCCCTTATCATCAACGCCTTCGCCTGCGTCAAACTGTGGAGCCCGACTCACCGCTCGACGTAGAAATGTCTCTTTTCATACGTGATTGTTAAACACGGCGTTGGAATTGTCGCTTAAAGAAAATGTTTTGTGTGAGAGTGATAAAGGGTTGATTGACAGTTATTATAATGTGTCGGCCGGTCGGGTTTTAGAGTTTGTATCGGTGATGTTCAAAGAAAAGCCCCATTGTTGGACTTACCATAGCAGAGGCGTCAAAGCAGCTCTAGAGGACTGCAGGTTTTCATTCCAACCAAGCAGGAGCGCACCGTCTTCAAGTTAAGACTTGACTCACTTGAGAAAATGGGTGGAGTCTGCTGTGCTTTTGATTGCTTGAAATGAAATCCTGCAGCCGCACCTCCCCTCTCTGCAACTGGTTTCTATTCGATTCATTCTTGTATCGCGCTCAATCACAACAGTAGTTATCTCAGAGGACTTTAGAAAACCATTGTCCATTTCAGAGAATCAAACACATACAGTAGGTATTGGTCGATAGGGAGTTGACCAATGCAAAATGTTGATAATTGTCCATACATGTTGTAGAATGTAGTGTGTCTTGTGTCATCACCACAGTCCTTTCAGTTAGACCCGCTGAACAGTCTAACAGACCCTCCTGCACGGGCAACTCTAAAACCCAGTGGGATGCAGTGAGAAACCTCGGAGGGATCCACATTGAGGACTCAGGACTCAAGCTACAGGATGGTTAGACGCCTCTGCAATATCAAATCCAAAAACGGGACTTATCTTTGTCCGTCCTTTGTCTCATTCAGTTTTCGGTTAGTGCTGCAACCCTCCTCCTCCTCTTGGCATACATATATACTGTATTTACTGGATTCTTGGCTCATCGCTGCAGCTTCCGCCAGGATTTAAAAATGTGCACATAAAATATTATATTCATACTAAATGGGTCTTGGATCTACCCCAAGGTTTCCACCTGATGGAACATTCCCAGAACACCTCCCCAGGGATGCGTCCAGGTCGCATCCCAAACAGATGCCCAGCACTTTGACCGGCTCTTCTAGGCAGGCAGTGGCTCTACTCCGAGCTCCATTCAAGTGACTGAGCTCATTTTGACCGCTTGTATTTGTAATATTATCTATTTAGTCTTTTCCTAAAGCTCTCAAAGTAATCATTTTAAGAAGCTGTATGTAGATTTTTATTGTATGCATGCCTTCCTCTATTCTCTACTTTTCAACCAAGAGAGCCAAAACAATTTCATAGTTTGTGACTGCTTGTTACTCACATGGCAATAAAATAAATCTGATTCTAATGAGTCAAGACCTAAACATTTGACTGAATTTGACCCAGTTGGAGCATAGATCCTGGTCATGGGTCCTCTCACCTGGTTCCTCTCACCTGGTTCCAGTGCAATCATCAACATGTGTGTATTCTAAAGAGCTCGGCAGCTGAGCTCTGATGTATGTCTAATGAATGAGGGCAGGGAAATATAAATTTGGAGCCAAAGTGTCAGTTTTAGCCGCTGTGGGACCGGCCCAAACTCCGGGAGGACGTTCAGTTATTAAAGTGGAGCCGTCATCTGGACTGACAGAATGAGAGCTGTGGAACTGGATCACGGCAGCAAATTATCAGAACCATCTTTAAGGGCACGTTTGTAAAGCTTTGCCCCATGATTTAAAAGATTGATTCTTTTTCCAGGACCAGTGCATAGTCTCTTTGATCAGTGGTCCATAGTAGGAATATGGCTTAAAACCAATTAAATACTGATAGAGGCGTCATCAATTTGTATTTTGATCATTTCTTCCCCTTTGGTTCTCGGACCACCACCTCCACCACGCAACTTACTCTTTGACACATTTTTCTTTTCTGAATCTAAGTTACGGATGTTACTATGGATGATTTTGGATGTCATTGTTGCTCATAGGATAAACAATGCCTGCTGATTGCCAACTTCCCTTACG